GAGGATCAATATACACTATCATCAAAAAGTTTGGGCACACCTTCTCATTTAGTGGTTTGTCTTTATTTTCATGACTATTTACATTGTAGATTCTCATTGAAGGCATCGACACTATGAATGAACACATGTGGAATTATGTAGTAAACAAAAAAGTGTGAAATATCTCAAAACATGTTTGATATTTTAGATTCTTCTAAACATCCACCCTTTGCTTTGATTCCTGCTTTGCTCACTCTTGGCTCTCTCTCTGAGCTTCATGAGGTCGTCACCTGAAATTGTTTCCAACAGTCTTGAAGGAGCACTTGTTGGGCCTTTTGGCCTTCACTCTGAGCTCCATCTCATCCACAAACCATCTCCATTGGATTTAGGTCAGGTGACTGTGGAGGCCAGATCATCTGGTCAGCACTCCATCACTCTCCTTCTTGGTCAGATAGCTCTTACACAGCCTGGAAGTGTGTTTGGACTCATTGTGCTGTTGAAAAATAAACTAAATGCAAACCTGATGGGATGACATGTTGCTGCAGCATGCTGTGGTAGGCATGCTGTTAACTTGTTATTTCTGAGGCTGATTTGAATGAATGTATCCTCCAGTGTTATGAAAAATAGCGGTGGACTCAGAGAGCAGAACGCACAGAGGCACAGAGTTGAAACAATTTGTTTACAGTGAAGGGGATGCATTTTCAGGGACACTGTATATACAATAAAATGTGAATGTGGAGCCGGGATGTGCAGGTGAGGAGACGCACACCGGTAGTGCACTCGATCTGAGTGGAACAGGAGAATTAGGAGGGTCTTGCCCGAAACTGAGAAAAGCATAAAAGAGACTTTACCGAGAGTTGGAGAGCTTACTTGGTACTGTTTGCCAAAAACCTCCAGAAGGGAAACAAACCAAACGAGGCGACCGGGAGAAACAGACAGACGAAAATCCTGGTGAGGAAACAAAACTCCGTACAGTCACCAGCGAAAATAATCCACAGGCTCCAGTAGGCAGGCTGGCAGATTTACAGGCACTCCAGAAAAGTCGATACTCCGACACTAGTCGTCTGTCGGGCAGCTCCTAAAGAACGCTTCAGAAGAAAGTGTCTGAAGGGTAACAGGTGTGCCATGTTCTTTGAGACGTGAGACATGTGAGACAGTTTTAACGTAGCGCTTGATGGTTTTTGTGACTGCACTCAGGGACACATTCAAAGTTTTATCAATTTCCCAGACTGACTGACCTTCAGTTCTTAAAGTAATGATGGGCTGTTGTTTCTCTTTACTTAGCAGATTGGTTCTCGCCATAATGTGAATTCTAACAGTTGTCAAATAGGGCTGTCAGCTGTGCACCAACCTGACTTCTATACAACACAACTGATGGTCCCAACATCATTAAGAAGGCAATAAATTCACAAATGAACCTTGACAAGCGGGCTACTTTCAGAAATCTAAAATATAAGACATATTTAGAATTATTAGTTATTTCTTTGCTACATAATTCCATATATCTTGCTTCAAATACTTGATGCCTTCAGTTTGTATCTACAACGTAGAAAGTAGTAAAAATAAAGAGAAAACATTAAAAAATTTATATATATATATATATTAGTGTGTGTATATGTAAAACTACCAGTGCAGGACTCTGCGTTGTGTGATCGAACACAAGCGTTCAATTTGTGGCTTGGACCGCACCATTTACACACTGCGGCATAAACCACTCCGAGTCTGCTGCTGGGCCTTGCAAAGCAAACACAGTAAACACTGAGCCAAGATGGTGCCTGGACGAATGAGAAGCTTGAACTACGGTGTCCTGTATGGGACAAATGCTCAAAATCTCTGCCTTTTTCCCATTATTTAAGCTGCCCTGCAGTGACCACTGCATAGGAGAGAGCGCTTGCTACCACATATATATATATGTGTGTGTGTGTGTGTGTGTGTGTGTGTGTGTGTGTGTGCATATTATGTATATTATATTATGTATGTATGCACACATTATTTGCTGCTGAATTTAATTCATGTAGAGCAGGGCGATATGGCCAAAAATATTTATCACGATATATATTTGAAAATTTGCGATAACGATATCACGACGATATAATTGATGCGATACAAAATACAACTCCACAACATTAAGCCATTGATTCATTAATGTTGAATTCTCTGGCAGCTGCTCTATTCCCATGTTGTTGCAGTATATTAATGACTAACCTCGTATTGTGGATGGATTATCTCAGTTGTTCTCCTGACTGAAGTTTGGTCCGTTTACAGCATCCTGCCATGCGATTGCATTTGTCTCTAACCATGAGGAACCTTAACGTTAACTTTTATAAGTGGAAAAGTGTTAGTGTTCGTCCTCCAGCTTCACTGTTTATGTTATGCTAACATAGCTGTGTCGCTAGCGATCACGTAGCACATCATTATATACCAGCTAGCCCAACTTCAGTAACCCTACAAACGTCACTGCTGTTTAGTTTCCTGTCTTCATTTATGTTGGAAGTGATAGCAGAGCTGTACGTTTGATTTTTTTCAGAAATCTCTCAGTCAGAACATGCAATATCATGCTTAGGTAACTAGCGAAACTAGCGAGCTAACTTCCGCTAGCTTCCTGCTAACTTCTAACTCCGTTAAATGTAATAACTTTTGTTTTCATGGATGCCTGGAAGTTAAACTTCATAGTTACACCTGGTAAAGCAGCAATGCTGATCGTTTTATTAAAGATGAAAGAATTTAGACAGTTTTTAACTCTAAGTGATGCTGCAGTGTTGTTTGACCTGAAGCATACGGAGTTTAGGACCCAGATTACTCCCAGATTTAAGAGCATCTTAGTCCGACAAATACGACAATAACGACGGCCGCTTGCATGTTCTGCAAAAAAATGTGCTTTGTTGTGTATCTGACGGACAAACACCAAACCAGTTCCACATCACGGAAGTTGCACCATTTTTACAAACCAATTCTGGTTCATCTGTTTCACTCAACAATCGGCCATGTGCGTATGAAAACAAAGGCACTGCGCATGCGCGTTTTACTCCCATTCTATCGCGATATTTCATTTTCCTATCGTTGCCTAACATTATACCGGTATTACCGTGAACGGTATAATATGGCCCAGCCCTAATCCCAATACTTGCTCTTTCCTGCTTCTCTTTCCTGTAGGGTCTGAAGAACCAGTCTCATATCAAGCTGAATATTGTGAGATGTCCCCCAGTGACTACTGTACTCATCAGACGGCCAGACCTGCGCTACCAGCTGGGTTTCAGTGTCCAGAATGGCATTGTGAGTAGTGTCGGCTCTGTTACATGATAACTGCAATTTTGTTACATTTCTTGAGTGATTTTATTTGTTATTTTTAAAGAAAAAGTGACATCTCTTCAACAGATTTGCAGCCTAATGCGTGGGGGCATTGCCGAACGGGGCGGGGTCAGAGTTGGTCACCGCATCATCGAGATCAACAGCCAGAGTGTGGTGGCCACGCCCCATGAAAAAATTGTCCACATCCTGTCCAGTGCTGTGGGAGAGGTAAGACATTGCATCATATTATACATAACAAGGAAATCAGGATCTTTCGATGCACAACAGTTAAAAGTGAAACACTGCATTCTATTGTGCCTAAGGCCTTTCTGGGTGGTGCATTTGTGGGTTTCCTCTGGGTACTATGGTAAATGGACTGATTCTTATATAGCGCTTTTCTACTCTCCTGAAGTACTCAAAGTGCTCTATATAACATGCCTCATTCACCCAATCTACACTCAGTGCTTTCTAAGTACACTCATACTCCGATGGATGCATCGGAGAGCAAGTTGGGGTTAGTGTCTTGCCCAAGAATACTTGGCATGCAGACTGCCAGGGATCGAACCACCAACCTTCCGATCAGTTGGTGACCTGCTCTGCCTCCTACAGCCACCCTATAGGTACTCCGGCTTCCTTCCTGGTCCAACGACATGCATGTAAAGTTAACTGGTTATTCTAAATCGATCATAGGTATGAATCCAAGGTGCACACAGCACTTACATCTATAGGATAGAGTACTTTATCAGTATGTGGGAAAAAGCTTTATATACGCTGATCAGGCATAACATTATGACAACCTGCCTAATATTATTTTAGTCCCCCTGTTGCTACCAAAACAGCTCTCACCCACTGATCCATGGAGTATCTGGCACCAAGATGTTATACACCACTCTGCATTGAATAATAACTTATTATTAATCTCTGGCTCTCTGCCACAGCATGTCTTTAATCCTGACTTCCTTCGCTCACCACAACCGGTCATGGCAGACTCTTCCTGTTAAAAGCTGCTGGGGATCGAGCTGGTCTGACTCGCCTCTGGGTCTTGGGAGTGACAAGACTTTTGCCCAGTTCTTCCAGGAAAAGCCGACGTCGGTACAATATGCTGGCATTCCAATGTTGGATGATTTCAGTCCACAGGACATTGTAAGCTGACACATCCAAAATGTTGTAGAAAATTACCAAGGGCCAACGAGCTGTGTTGCACTGGCAGCTGTATGTTGCTGTGACTTTGTCAAGATTGTCTACTCCTCCTTTGGAGCGAGTTGTAGTCTTTGTCTTGAAAGATCCTCTGTCTCTGAAACACCTTCTTCTTCATCACTATCCCAGTTCAAAAGCAGTGATAAAGCTTCTTCAGTCGTCATCCTTCAGGAGCTCATTTTTGGTGTGTTGAAATGACACGAGAACAGTGACAAGAACAGGGGAGAGAAAGTTTCTCGCATACACACCTGGGTCTGATGTATATTCAGAGGCAATCAAAACAAAGTACATCAAAGACAAATGTTTATTTTGGATCTGAACAGCTTTTTACTTGCATAAAAGTGTGCGGGTCAAAATGACCTGCAACATCATCTTTGTATACAAACACTGCAAAGACATCCCAGGACACATCAAAGTGTCCATATTTTACACACCAGTTCATGACCCCAGATAAGGAAAAGTCATAAACCTTCATGAAGAAAAAGAAAGGATGACCAGTACTTTGGTCAACACAAAAACTGGAATGGGTCAAATTGGGTCAAACCCTAACCTTATCCGTAACCTTAACAAGCACTTTAATGACTTCAAATAGTGTTTTCCAAAGTGATTTAAGTAAAATGAATGAACGTGTAGATTCCAAATGGTTCTCATGTTTCCTCATTTTTCTGATCTCGTCATTTAGGGATGTGTTGGGTGCCTGGAAGCGTAATATGTTGATGATTTGTCACCTAGCGTAAAATATTACGCTTTTGGAGTGAGAACGTGTTGCAGGATTCAGGATTCCAACAATGGCGGCAGCTCCTTAGTTTTAATATTACTCTTATCAAACTTTTAACATATTTTGAGAATGTAGCTGTGTCAACTTCAAATATCTGCTCGGTTTATCAAGATATCACATATTTGCCAAAGTCCTGCAACGTTTTCGGAGACGTTGTTACCCACCAGCTCAATAGCTGACCAGGAGGTCAAGGGTCACTAGAGCCGGCAAAAGTAGCAAACTTCCAGCACATCGTTTTCTGATTAACTGATTAAACAGAAGTGTGAGATGGTCGAGAATTTACGCCAGTGTCCTGTTATTAAACTCCTCCGAGACAGCGGTGACGCAAATCTGAAGGCTAGACCGTCCAATTTCACAGCTTCACACTTCCGGCCTTCGAAGGACGCGGCCCACATAGACCGCGAAGGCCGGGTCCTCCAAAGGATGCGGCCTAGGTTTTGGGACACAGCTGTTCTTTTTTTGCTTTGTATCTGTAACCAGACCTTAACGGGAATTCGAATAGAATAGAATAGAATAGAATAGAATAGAATTCAACTTTATTGTCATTGCACATGTCACACTTGTGACATGTACTTACAAGGCAACAAAATGCAGTTTGCATCGATCCAGAAGTGCTTTAGCCATGATATAGATGTCCATGTTATTATTGTGTGTTTGAGGGTACAGTTGTCCATTGTGGGTGTGTGTAGGTGGTTGTGGGTGTGTGTATGTTCAGTCCATGTGTTAACGTGGGTCAGATGTCAGGAGGCAGAGTTCAGGAGTCTGACAGCTGTGGGGAAGAAGCTGTTCCGGTACCTGGTGGTCTTAGTCCGGAGGCTCCTGTGGCGCCTCCCAGAGGGCAGGAGGGTGAAGAGTCCATGTGATGGGTGACTGGGGTCTTTGATGATTTTCCCAGCCCTTTTCAGACACCGCTTCCTGTAGATGTCTTTTATGGCAGGAAGTGGTGCTCCGGCGATGCGCTGGGCAGTTTTCACGACCCTCTGCAACGCCTTCCGGTCCGAGGCAGAGCAGTTCCCGTACCAGACTGTTATACAGTTGGTCAGGATGCTCTCGATGGTGCAGCGATAGAAGTTCACCAGGATGTCTGAGGACAGGTGGTTCTTCCTCAGAGTCCTCAAGAAGAAGAGGCGCTGGTGAGCCTTCTTGACCAGCTTGGAGCAGTTGGTCGTCCAGGTGAGATCCTCGGAGATGTGGACTCCCAGGAACTTGAAGCTGCTCACACGCTCCACAGCCGTCCCCTTAATGTGGATGGGTGGATGTGGGTCAGCATTCCTCCTGTAGTCCACGATGAGCTCCTTGGTCTTCTCGGTGTTAAGCAGCAGGTTGTTTGTGTCGCACCACTCAGCCAGACGATCCACCTCCTCCCTGTAGGCGGCCTCATCGTTGTCACTGATGAGGCCAATCACCGTGGTGTCATCTGCAAACTTAATGATGGTGTTGGAACCATCAGCAGGTCTGCAGTCGTGGGTGAAGAGGGAGTAGAGGAAAGGGCTCATCACACAGCCTTGTGGTACACCGGTGTTCATCGTGATTGTAGATGAGCAGCGGTTATCCAGCCGGACATGTTGGGGGCGGTTGGTCAGGAAGTCCAGTAACCATTTGCAGATGAGGGAACTGATGCCCAGGTCTGTCAGTTTCCTGATGAGTTGTGAGGGGTGGATTGTATTGAACGCTGAACTGAAGTCTATAAACAGCATTCTGGTGTAGGTGTTGTTGTTGTCCAACTTATGGTGGGTTATGAGGTTGTTAATGAGGCCCATGTTGCTCTGATAGCAGCCTTCAGCTGGTCTGTATCGTTGGGTCAGGTGTTTCTCCTATTCCTTTTACTCCAAGACCCCATGTGGTCACGGTCAACAACAGTGCCATTTGACAGTAGCTTTAGGACACTGTGGGTGGGACTTTCATGTGCCTTTTTTACAATCTTGACTTCCAATTAAAATCCAAAATTTAATTTTATCTGAAAAGAGGACTTTGGACAATTGAACAACAGTCTTTGTGGGGTGGCTGTAGCTCAGGTGGTAGAGCAGGTCAGCTGCTAACCGGAAGGTTCGATCCCAGGCTCCACCAGCCAAATATCCTTGGGCAAGATATTAACCCCATGTTGCTCTCCGATGCATCCATCGGAATGTGAATGCATATGAATGTTAGACAGTGAGCACTTAACAGTGTAGAATAAGTGCTTGTGTGAATGGGAAGTAATTGGGTGAATGAATTAGTTGTATAAAGCGCTTTGCTCAGAGTAGAAATGTGCTATATAAGAACCAGTCCATTTACCACTCCATAGTCTGATGTTGTTTGTGGTCCACGAGTGGCTTGATGTCAGGATGTAGCCCCTTTTATTACTTCTGCACGGTTCTTGACAATCGTTTCAGGGCTTCAGGCATCTCTGATTCTTGGGCACCCTTTCCTACCCGAATTTCTATTACATACCATTATACCATTAGATATGTAATGATATAAATAAGAACCTTTATATCAGAATTCCATGATGATTACTTTGTTCTGTTCTGTCTGCCTTAGATTCATATGAAGACCATGCCTGCTGCTATGTATCGCCTGCTGACCGCCCAGGAGCAGCCTGTTTACATTTAACCCACAAACTGACCTCACAGATCAACTCCCTCAGCCCAGCCCGGACCTCATCCTGTATAGCTGATGAATTGTAGTGAGTTGTTAAGATTGTTCTGTTGCTCAAACTCATCTAGCTGCAACACAAAAACCAATATTATCCATGTGTATGTAGGCTTTTATTATTACAATAAAAAGATGTTCACACCAGATACATTTTCAGTACCTAGTCGTGCCCCAGAGTCTGCAGAGTTTCTTTATGGTTTACTGTTGATATTTTGAAACACAATATGTAGTAACGTGTATTGCCGCTTAGTTCATGAAACTAAATCAGTTTCCTCATTGTTAAATTAGAGGAATGATGTTTGTTTTGCACAGTAAAAATCTTATTTCCAATCTTACACATGAGTCACATCCAGACACAGTGGTGGGCAAAAGTTTACATACTTTCATGACATTGTGGGTCACTAGATGCTTTTGGTAGCCATCAACAAACCTCTGGTGTAATTCCAGCTGAATATTTGATCACTCTTCTTGCCACAATTAGTCAAGTTCATTTAAATTGGTTGCTTTCCTGGCATGGACCCATGCTAGGCCCAAACATGCTGAGGAAAGCTATTCCAGAAGTAGATGAAACATTACTTGATGTTGTCTGTCTTGATGCTCAATCATCCAGCTAAAGAAATCCCAAAAAGTCTGGCCGCAGAGTTTTCAGTGGGAGAAACGTTTCGTCATCATCAGCTGACTTCTTCAGTCTCAGCTGACTGCAGGTTTCCAACCTTAGAAACAGGACATGTGCACAGTGACTGAAACCAGCAGCACTGAATGAACACTGGGCTGGGAGGTCAGCTTATGATCAGTAGTATGCAAATTGCCATGACCGCTAATCAACAACCATTGATCAGTGGCCATGAGTACCATTCACAGAGTTGGGGAATGTCTGCCATCACAGCATTGTAAGATGGTGTGTAAATCTACAGTCCTTTGCGCTTTAGTGAGTTCCTTTAAATTTGTGAGTATTGATCGATCAATCTGAATACTATTATTCTAATCTATAATCTATAATCATCATAAGTTATTAAACATTATGTATAGAGAGTGAGAGAGCCTGCATGTCCGTATGCTTTTGACCCAGCATGGATGAGAGAAAATCCAAAACAAATTCAAACTTTTTCTCCTCATTCTTATTTTTTTAAAGTTTATTTTAAAGGCCCAAAATAAATGTAACGTTCATGCACATGATGGCTGTATGTAAACCTCTGAACATAACTGGATCTGCTACTAGTACCCCGAGTTTCACCACAGGGCACTGCCGATGTCTAGTTACATTTTCTACACCAAACCCATGTATGAAAAAAACCCTCGTTTATGTAGAATTAAGTTACGTAGGCTTCACTTTGTGGGCTCAGTCGTGTTTCGACTCTCAGCTCAGAATCACAGTATTTTGAGCAGATTATTCTTGTTTATTACCAAAATTTAATGGTAAATTAACTCATTCCTATATAGCACTTTTCTACTTCATCCCAGCACTCACAGCGCTTTATACAACTTGCCTCATTCATCCATTTGTACAAGCACTTCTTTCTGGGGGTTGTGTTCGATCTAACAATCGCACACATTCATACTCGGTGGATTCCCCGGAGAGCAGCTCGGGGCTAGTATCTCGCCCAACGATATTCGGCAGACAGCCAGCGATTGAACCATGAACATTTCAATTAGTAGATGACCTCCTGCACCACCTCCTGAGCTACAGCAACCCGAAATGATCCGTCATCACATTTTAAAATGAGGTAAATATAACCTCAGAGGAACAACAAACCACGACATGTTCCAACATCATTATTCACTTAATATAAATTCAGCCCAAATGCAGAAGCATGTGTGAAAAATTAACTACTGTTTCCTGTAGGAATTAAGTGGGTAAATACACCTATTTATCCTGCATGAGCATAATCAGTGATTATTGATTATCAGTAGATTTGATCACCTCTAGAAAAGGAAAGGTTTTAGCAGTTTGTGGATCTGGAGCACTCAGTTATCTAGTATCTTCACTGCCATGGAGAAAAGACATCAGCAGTTACCTAAAAAGCAATTATTGCCCATAAGGCTCTTGAGGGCATTTCCAAACAGTTTCAAATCCATCATTCTACAGTGACAAAGACTTTTCACAAGTGGAAAACATTCATGGCAGTTTCCTGTCGTCTCGTCTCAGTGAATGTCTCAGCAAATTCATTCCAGCTCTCGCAATACTCAGAGCTACACTCAGACTCCACATGCCTCAGTTAGCCACGTTAAATATAATACAGTAAGAAAAAACATGGAACAAGTATGGCATCTTTGCATTTGTTTCCGAGAAAAAGAGCCTAAAAAGAATATACCAGCATGGCTTAGCTTTGCAAAACTGCATCTGAACTAACTCGTTGGCTTCTTGTGCAGCAACAAGACCTGGGCACCTTGCAATCATTGAGTAAACTCCTCGGTATACCAAAGTATTCTAGAGTAAAATGTGACAAAGCAAATGTGAAGGTGTTGCAATGGCCCAGTCCCACCTCAAGCTGGGTGAAATGCTGTAGTGGACCTTAAGAGAGCTGTTCATAACCGACAAAGCATGGAAGCAGCTGTGTGAAGGACAACGAGACACCTGAGTGACTGATGACAAAAGATTACGAACGTCTTTGGTTGCTTAGGCAAAGCTCTAGACTAACTTTTTTGCCACGGTTGCAAGGCGCACCAGCACAAACGTTAGGCGCACCCAAATTTTTCAACCGCTTCGCTTAACACCGCAGTTTTACATGTGCACTTTTTGGGGGGAAATTGCTGTCTATACAGACAACATTGATGTGTAAATGATTAACAAAGTTAATCACAAAGTTACTGAAAAAGTGCTTGTGTTTAAAGAGCGTTGGCACTCTTCGGCAATATTGTAGACAATGTTAAACTTAATCATCACATCGGCTCCTCTGACGACCTGTTTGCTGCTGAAAGGCCGCGGGGGGAGGGGACACTTTTATCGCAGCATATAATGTGTTTCTGGATACACGGTGCTTTTTCAGCATTCAGGGGCTGATGGCTCCGTGTCAGAGCTGGCTATGAATTTCAGACGGATCAGGCCTTAACTTAACAAATAAGTTATCAATAGTTCTTTTCATCTTTCCTCATTACTGACAGCTACATCCGCTTCTGTCGGGACTAGGCTGCTCACTGGGGCTGCGTATCGTCACTGATTTCTGTAATCCATTCGATTCGATTCAGTTTTGCCTCAAATAGTCAGAAATATTATAATTCTGATCATTTATCAGTACTGACACTGTGAGACTTCATCAGAGGTGTGAGCATCACAGCAGAGGCCTTTGTGTCAAAGTAACTGAGAATAAAACAGAAATCGAAGGAGATTTTCCTGACCTGGCTTTTTATAGCAGATAACCTTAAAAATATTCTGCAATTTTGCATAATTTTAAAAAGTATAAATTTCTTCAGTATTGAACAGCAGAAATGAGTCTTTCTTGTCCGAGGACATTTAATTAACAAAAAGAAAAAGACACCGGTAGACTGGTGGGTGATAAACAGAGATTGGAGACGGGAAACTGTTCCTGAAGTACAGAGAGAGAGCTGTGTGATTTTATCGTGCTGGAAGCAAAACAGCAAAGGTCAGAGGGAATTAATGACGACATTTATCAAATGTGAAACATAGTTTGCTGCTTCTTTTGCTGCTGGTTCAGTGAATTTTGGTTGGAGAGAAATAAAACCTGCAGCATCAGAATCGAGCACAAAAAGATGTAAACACAGAGCAGACCCGACGCATCAGAGTCGGCGAGCTGCCGGCTTTCAGCCCCGACGGCGTGTCCATGTACGGGCCGTCGGGTGAGAAAGCCGAGAAAGAGAAAGCTGATTCTGATGCGTGGGGTCCACGCTGTGTTTACGTCTTTGTGTGGAGTCCGTTACCTGCTCTCATTTACTGTTTGGTGGTTGTTGAAATAGTTTTGAGAGCTTTAACCTGAGATTCTGGCGTTTCAACATTTATATTTAAAAGTCGATTCAGGATTTAATGAATCGATATCGCTTTATTCAAACTACTCACCTCTCTATCTGCCTGCACTTTCAAATACACACAAAAGGACCACGGCCAATCACAGAGGTCCCGCCCCTGACTATCTCTGATTGGGACACACGATAGGGGCACGATGTGTGTCAGCTGATGACCACACGGAGACTCAGAGTTGCGGACACACTCTAGAGCGCTGCTTAGGTCGTTCTACGAGCTCGAGTATACTGAACTTTTTACACATTGCTTCTGCATTTTGATTTTTATTAAATAAATCAATTTAAATTAATATGAGGTTATGTTTCTTTATAGTGATGAAAGTCAGTCTATGTCAAGCTTTTTCCCTAAGATGCATTTTATGCAAATACATTGTATAAATTGCATCTGTATTAATTATCATGAGATAATGAATGCAGGTAATATCTGTGGGCAGATATTACCTTATGTCTTACCCTGTTACCCTTGAATACAGAAAGAAAAATACAGTACCAGTTTCTGTTTCATTTTGGCTTTTATATCAAACAGTCAGCAATGTACAAAGACGTCTGTATAACGTAACCCACAAATGTGATGACTGTGGCTGTGTGTGAATGTACAAGCAGCAGCAGGATGTACAACTGTCTGTTTTTGGTTTGAGGGGACTCTGCATTGCCTAAAGAATGTACACTATACCTTGCTTGTACAAAAACAATAAAGAAGCTCAAATATTCTACTATTCAAAATATAAATATGAATAAAGAATTCTAGCCTCTGCCGTTTTGTGATAAGTGAAATAAACAACACTTCTTGCAGCCTCTCTATACACCTGATTGATCACCATCCCAATCACAATGTTTCCATCAGTTATCTCAGCTAAGGCTGACCAGTCTCCTGTTCCCAACGAGCTCCACCATGCTTCGGCTAAATCTGTCATGTGCAGACCCTTCAGCTGCTCACTAGGTTTGTCTTTAAAATGAACCAAATATATTTATTTATTTATCATTTTGGAGCGCTGTCTTTTGCTACACTGCTCGGGGTCATCAACACAGCACACTGGCTGTGCTCTTCGCTCCTTATGGAGCTCTACAGTAAAGCTGCAGGGACACATCACACCCGTATATCACCTGTTCCTGCTGTTATCCTAAGGGAGGGGTTACGAGACAGTAAACAAACAAACAGCACATATACAAGGTTTGTTTTTATTATAGGCAATAAATGAAAACACCTCTCCGCCTTTAATTGTTAGTTATTATCAGTGTTGGGTAAGTTACTTTAAATTAGTAACTTAGTTACATTACTAGTTACTTCTATCAAAAGTAACTCAGTTACTTCAAGTTACTCGTTACTTTCAAAGTAACTAGTTACTAGGGAAAGTAACTTTGGTTTTACTCAGAATTCTCTTGTTAATGTGTTGCTTCCATAACTTTGCAGTCTTCTAGCTTGCTTACTTGCCACAGTGCACTGTGCCACCTACCAATAGAAAGGAAAAGATAATGTGCACATTTCCACGAGAGAAATCCCACGCCTGATTCTATCCTAGCCTGCTTTTTACATCCAACACAAAAACTGCAGTCGTGGTGCTTTGATTGTACTCAGAACTCGGAAATTCTGCCTTCTGAATAGGAAGATGTAGGTAACACCAGACTGCAGATGAGCTGCATACAGGGCTGGACTGGGACAAAAAAATCGTCCCGGGCATTTTGACTAGAGACCGGCCGCCATTATAGGAAAAATCATAAAGCCTTTGAATGAAAATAAACACTGTTGTGACAGTGATGTACACTGTTCTGATGGTATATATGCATCAATCTATCAATCGTTTGTTGTAAGACTCAGATAATTATTTTTTTAAAAGTGAGACATTTTAAATGAGAATAAGAAAGTATTTCTTTGTGCCCCCCTCTCCCTGTTAATGCCCTACCTGCCCCCCTGGCAACACTTTGCTAGACCCGCCCCTGCACAGTTACCAGCTGTCAGCTACCTAAAAAAGGATCCTGGGTGTTATTTGTCTCTCAGAAACAGTTCATAACTTCAACTCATTCATGTCACCTAAAAGGTAAACCTGTTTCTCCATCACCTGTTCAGCTCTGATGATCCAGTAAGGACATCTCCTGGTTTCATCTTCATGTTTCCCTCTCACCACATATCCAAACCATCATGACCAGCAGCTTTACAGCTGTGGCTCCAGCAAACATCAGCTGATACTAGAAATTAATATTAAATAAATTCTAACAACAGCTGATCAAGCTTAAACGTGCTGCTGTTGTTTAGCGCGACATCCGCTGGTTTCCTCTTTCTGGCGCAAAGTGAGCGATAAACAAACAAGAGAGCCGATCAGCTGATCATTGATCAGTTTCATGATTGAAGTAGAAACAGGAGAGGGAGGGGGGAGAATGAGAGAAGAAGAGGCAGCTGTGCAGCAAAGACACAGAATAACTCCAGCTTTGTGCCTTTTTCATTGTAGCTGAATTACGGGACAAACTGTTCCTTTTCACCTCAAAGTGGAC